CAGTCAGGGGCGGATTTGTGTCAAATCGACAAATGGAATTATACATAACAATTTAGGAAATTACCCTCGAAAACTTAAATATAGTTTGGTTTAATATTCAGACTTTAACTTACTATATTGGGAATTTAACATATACTAGGTCTAATATATATATATATTGTTCATGCAAAGCTAGCGTTGTGATTAGGGGTGAAAGTCGGATGGATCGGATCGGAATTAGCCTTTTCGGAAAATTTCCAAAAAGTTTCGGAAGTACAAAATCAATTCCAATTCCAATTCCAAAATTTTCGGAATCTAAAAATTCATTCCAATTCCAAAAAGCCCGGAAATTTCGGAATTTCGGAAAAAATCGGAAATCACATAAGGTTAAAAATTTCAAAACTTAGCGAAAATTTTCTAAAATATTCATAATTTTCCAAAAATAAGAACATCCACGTCGATAAAAGTAAAACTAATAACTACTAAATTTCAGTTCAAAAAATAAATAAAAATAAGCACAACATAATATCTAATAAAACTTCTAACAACAATTCATTATGTCAAAATCCTAAAAAAAAAATTATAGGTATATTTTTCGGAAAAATAAATATTATATAATATTTATTATTTATAGGTGTATATTTAGAAAAAAAATCGGAAATTTTCGGAATTAATTTCGGAAATCAAATCGAATCGGAAATCGGAAATTCCAAATTTATTTTATATAATTCCAATTCCAATCCAAAAAAATCGGAAAAATTCGGAAATCGGAATTTCGGAAGTCGGAATGAAAAAAGTTGTTCCAAAATCGAAACTTTTCGGATCGGAACCGGCGGAAATTGGAATTTCCGTTCCAACTTGCACCCCTAGTTGTGATCCTTCAGGTGCACTATTGCAGTTTCATTGCCATCTTATATGCCTAATCCAAACACATTATTTGTAGGAAAGATGAATATTAATATACTATTTTTTATTTATTTTTCAAATGATTATGTAAAAGAATACATAGAATTTAATCATGAATAAAAAAAAGAAATTAAAGCTAAGGAGAAGAAAAAATTACTTACAACCATTTTTTTCAGTCTGTCGAAAGTCATTAATGGATACAAATGCTTGAGCATCACACCTCGCCGTTAATCAGATAGCTTAGATCTTTTAAAAAAACGAGAGAGTCGATTGGATCGAAAATGTGGTAAAATCACCTAGAGGTGGCGGCGGGCTGGTGTTTTACGACTAATTACGATTAGTTTTTTGGTAATGGTGAAAGAAAAAAGAGACAAGAGTACGATGAGAGAAGGAAAGAATGAGGCAAAGAAGAGTATTTATAATATTGGTATATATTGATAAATAATATTGGGTTGGCGGCGGAGAGTGATGTCGTCTAGGCTTTTTTTTTCTCAGCGGAGATATGGTCTAGGGTTAGGTAAATAAATAAAGTTGTAAAATTGCTACCGAGAAAATAATGTATTTTGTAATAATAGGCTATTGGCGGCGGATCGGAGATGTCGTCTAGGGTTAGCGCAAATAATAAAGTTGTAAAATATAATAATACTACCCAAAAAATATATATTTTGTAGTAATTTGCTATAATTGTTTACGGGAAATAGTTATTGTTGGCGGATCGGAGATGTCGTCTAGGGTTAGCTAGTAGAGTTATAAAATACTAACAAAAAAATATATTTTGTTATGACAAAATAGGCTATAAAATTAGGAGCCGGAAAATTGGAGATAAAATTATTTTTTAAAATTACAAAAATGTCATTAGAATTTCTAAGATTGTCCCAATGTTTATTATTTTTAGGGTAAATTATAATCACCCGCGAGGTATGGTCTTTATGAAAAAAACCTCTTGTTTGGATAATTACATCTACCCCTCAACTATGATTTTTTCTTACACCTCCACCCTTATGGTGTCAAACTCAACATAATCAACTATATTTCGTTAAATGTGCTCTAGTTTGTACTCGTTTTGTGTAAAAATACAGTTCTAATGCACCGCAATCTGATATTAACAAACTTACCTACACATATTATGATCATCGTGCTTCAATATGTGGAGTTCGAATAGGATGGCACGGATACAAAAGTGATAATAATCCATATAATCTTGAAAATGCCACTAAATTTGAAACTGCAAGGGTGGACAGGTCAAAATATTTATACCTGAGGGGATGGTTGTAAATATCCAAACAAGAGGTGTTTTTTTGTAATTTGACCATACCTCAGGGGTGATTTGTAATTTACCCTTATTTTTATATATAATAAGATAAGATATTAAAGTGCATACGTGGCGGGCAGCTCTAGTGTATATGTTGGTTAGGATAATCCCAAAATTTGAACCAGCATATTCCTTTGGAATGTACTTTTATGCTCTTTCCTATTTTATTTTAAATTATTGGTAGGGTTTTTTTTTCAATCTTTAATATGTTGAATTATTGGTCTATTTTTCTCTTATTTTCTCTGCATTTGACTTTTCAAAATTATGGCACTCTCGTTATTTATGAATACGTAAATCAAGAAGAAAAATTGTTTGTCCAAAACACGAATCGTAACTCGTAATGAATCGTTGATTACAAAATATTTTGAAAATTAATAAACTAAATAATATATTGATATTTAAAGAAATTACAAATATTTCTAAACAAAAAAAAAAAACAATAAGTATACCATAGTCTCTATTGAACATCTGAAATTCTATGTCCAAAAGTTTTTCTTTATCATTGTTATTAATAAAGAAAACAAAATTGGAGTTGAAAATGATGGACCAAGAAAGAAAAATATTTATTTATTTATTAGCTTTAGATATAAAAATTAAAAGGATAAATAACACTTAACCCCCTGTAGTTTGAGTTTTGTACACATGACCCCGTATACTTTCAATATAGCATATAACCCCCTTGTATTTTAATATAAGCAAATAACACCCTTGTACTTTCAAATATTTCTTCTTACTAATGAGCATAATTATTTACCAAGTGGAATATTGTAGGGGGGCTATGTGCTTATATTAAAAGTACAAGAGGACTATGTACACGAAGTTCAAACTACAGGGGTTCAGTTGCACAAAGCTCAAACCACAGGGAGCTAAGTGTTATTTCCCCAAATAAAAATGTTAGATTATAATTGTTTAAGAGCCTAAAATAAAAACAATATATAACAAAAACTAAATTCATAACATGATCATTAAAATAAAATAATAAAATAACTTTTTTTTTTGTCTTTTGAGCAGCAATAATAAAAATAAATAAATAATTAATAATAAAATAATAATTAAAAAAGAAAGTGTGTCCGAATAAACCAATCAGCAAACGCATATACCATTTCTTGCAGGGTTCAATTTCCATGGCCGGGAGGGATCATCGTCTACAAATAGTCAAATATACTATTATAGATTCAGCCCCCTTTTTCTGAATTCGCAGTATCCCAAAATAAATTCCTTCGACTTTTATTTTAATTTAATTAATTTGGAAATGATGATGATGCAGCAAGAAGAAAACGGCGGCGGCGGCAGAAATGGTGGGCTGTGCAGAACTTCGGAGGCGGCGGCGCCGCCGCGGCAGCTGAAGCTTTCTTTTCGGGGTGAGAGCTTCGCGGAGGCTGCAGGCGGCGGCGGCGGCGACCTCTTCACTCCGCCGCTCAACTTTTCAATGGTGGACAGCGGTATTTTCAGGTCCGGGTTTCCCGATTCCGACAACTTCTCCTTCCTCGAAACCCTCCATCTCCGCTCCGTCATGTAAGTCATATATATATATATATATATATATATATATATACTCTGTTTCACTGTGTGTGTTTGTGTGTGTGTGTGTGAGAGAGAGAGAGAGAGAGATTAGTATAGTGTGTGAGAAAAACAGAGCTGTATATATAAAAAAGACTGGATTTTTATGATTTTCTTGGGAGTGATTGAAATCTTTACACACAGTGCACGTTCTACTGTGTGTATAATAATTTTCATTTATCAAGATTTATATACATATACATATAATTAATAATTATATATAAATGCAGATATTTGTGCCCGGAGCCATATCCAGAAACCAACGTTGAGTTTCTCAGATCAAATGGGATTCAGTTATTTCAGTTTGGAATTGAGGGACACAAAGTAAGATGTTTTTATTACCATTTTTTTTTTTATTATATTTATTATTTTCTTTAATTGTTTAAAAATATACATTGTATTGAAATATAGATTTCTAGAAGCTTCTTTGTGTGTCGAA